GTTTACGTCAAAAAAAAACCAATCGGAAGTCACGTGCCATACCGTTTCTGTGGATCGAAGGGGCCGTCAAATCAAGCTAAAGTGGTAAATTTTTTAGTGAAAAAAAAAGGTTTGTTACCGGCTGTTTTTTTGTACGTTACTTATTTTCACTACGAAACATACAAAAATACACATGCAATACCGTTTGAGTGAGCCTACTTTTAATAAAACGTTTAAAATTCGACATGTTAGGACGAGCATAGCGACCTCTTAGGCCCACTAGTGTTCGTGACATAATGTGACATTTAAATATCACATTATGTCACGAACACTAGACATGAATACTTACAATTCTGTACAACTAATATTCATAGCATTGTTCCAGGCAGCACAATAACTATGTTATATTAGATTTCTTTGATAAGGATCCAAACCGAGGATCGAAACGTTAGAAGAGAAAAATTGTACATTTTATAATAAATATATCGTATCATCACACATCAACATCCTGTGTACATGACTTGACAAGGCAATTTCACTACCTCAGATTTTTATCGCACGAGTCAACTGGTATTTCTTTCATTATAAATGACATAAGTTGCTTTCCATTTACTCCGATTCTCAGATAATTCTCACTTGTGACGTCATAACTCAGTTAAATGTTCCTTTTGCATTCTGAGAAATGAGGTTCAACTGAGTTTTCCTAGCAAACTGCACAAGATCGAGACCGTGTGCTTTATTGAATCTCGTAGACTCACTTTAAAGGTGAGGTTATAAACCTAGGTATTGTTATTTGTTAATTTTACCAAAGTAAGCAGGTAGTGGCGTCATTAATCTGAGTATTTCATACCCAGCTCACTTCAGACTCAGTTTTACTTGTGTGTAATAAATGGAAAGCAACTATAGTGAGATTATGACACACTCTCGCAAAACAATAATTTCGTCCTGTTAACTTATACTTTTGCAGTAAAACTTAAGTTTTTTTTATAGTAAAGACTCCAAAGAATATTTTAGTATATAAGAAAGTTGATTTATTTATTTTTAATATATTTAAAACTTGAAAAAACTTAACTATAACCATAATACCCCGGGTTCCCCTACATTGTGTAACAGTGGGGGATAGTTGTCTATAGCGCGGGACGGGCGCGAGCGCACGAGCGAAGCGAGTTTTTCATTACAAGTGCTCGTCGTAATGTGCCGAAATGTTTTTGCGCAGAAGAGTGGGGTTAGAGAAATAACTCAAGGAATTGGGCAGGTTGTAACGATGCCCCCCTAAAAAAGCATCGTTCCTATGGTGCCATCGAAAAAGGGGCAATGCGCCTGTAGATATATTAAATAATAATTCGCAGAGACAGCAGCCGCCGAAACCGCCAGTCTCGTCGGAAGATGCCGACCGTCGCCGGGGACCGCCGATCGGAAATCTTCTCTTCCACGAGAAGCCGATCGGCGGAAAATATCGAAGCCGACCGGAGGATCGCGAACGAGACTGGCGGTTCTGTATAAAATACCGCGTCGACTACGCGCCACGCGGCGCGGCCTTTTTGCCTTTACCAGCTTTCCGATCCAGAACACTTTCCGAATCACCAGCTCTTATTCAGTGCTCCGAGACCGCTTTCCGCGACTCGCTCGTTCCGACGAACCTAGGGGGTAGGGCGTACCCTGCCTCCACCGGGCGTTCTCGGCCGCCGGACAACCGCTACAGTTATTCCTCCGAACCTCCGCACACTCTTTTCCTATCCCGAATATTCCCGTCCCGATAATCAACATTCGAAAGGGGGTAGGGCGCTCTCTGCCTCCGCCGGGTGTTCTCGGCCGCTGATTATCGGATCCATGGTATAAAGACAAGGGTATGCTCGTTCTGTGTCAGACCACTGCGCATTCCCACCACTTTTTGTTCTTGCTTACGTCATACTCGTGTAAAGTAAATGTAGAGGAAGCTCGTGTGACGTAAGCAAGAACAAATTCCCTGGATTGTCCCTATCTGAAATATGCGCAAGAGCATACCCTTGTATTTATACCATGATCGGATTCTTTTCCTCTGCACGACCATCTTCGAAATACGCGTCGCGCCGCGAGTTTCATTTGCTGGCGTATACCCGCGTTCCGCCGCGTTGACAAACACCGCCTCGCACGATCCGCGCCGCGAATCAGCCGAACGCCGAAAAAACGAGCGACGTCACTAGTTCCGCCTCGCCGTACGAATCTCCGACACCGTCGACCGCCGAATTTCGTACACCCGGCAGCTACTGACGCCTCGCGACTCGCTCTGTAAATAATTCGCGCATTTAGAAATAAGTATTGCTGTACTGTCCGCGTCCGTCCGACTATTTTGTTTTATCTTTGTAATTACTCGCGTTTCCGTCCTTCTACTATATCGCGTCATTTTCATATGTTATTCTTCTGTGTACATTATTATTATTTCTTTATATCGTCTTTGTAATAAATCGTGATTGTTCTACTCAACCATTACTTTATATTTCTTTTGTTGTTTCTCCGAACATTTCCGTGTCTCCGATCCGACGCGAATACTCCTCCTGCCGAACTTTTTGTGCGACACGCAGTAAATTTCACCGACGAGCTAGACCGCGCATAAAATCAGGTTGTTACAAGGTATTGGCTATTTCCCGCACACAAAAGCGTTGAGGTATAGGGCACACTACGTGCACGCGTAATGAAAAGAATTTTTCATTACAAGTGCTCGTCGTAATGTGCCTATACCGCAACGTTTTTGCGCAGAAGAGTGGGGTAGAGAAATAACTCAACGGCTTGAGGTAATGGCTATTTCCCGCACGCAAAAGCGTTGCGGTATAGGGCACATTACGTGCACGCGTGATGAAAATACAATAGCCTCGACTGCCTCGGTTGTCTTCATAGACATAGTATCTCTAGACTGAACATTCGAGGAATGAGGGTAGACCCTGCGTAGAAAACCGATTTTGGTTTCTGCTTTCTCTCTCGTTTCGCGCATGCATCTACTAGAGAGAGAGGATCGAAAAAGGTGATGGAAGAAAATACAGTACCGGAATTGTCGTGACTCTTGCCGGTGAGGTCATTTACAATTTAGACTAGCTAGTAATGTAACGCTCACTTCTCCCAGTAGCTGTACAAGAAAAATTAGCTAACAGCTAGACATAAAATGTTACACAGTCATGACGTAGAAAATCATAGCTAGCTACTAGACAATAATGTTCTTCTAGCAGCTGTATAAGAAAAATTATCTAGTAGCTGTTTATTCTACTAAAAACAGAAACTAAATACGAAAAAAAAAACATTTCTTCGATTAGATTTTTTAACATTATACTTTCTACATAATTTCTAAAGATAATTTTTATTAATTACAACAAATATAGAGAAATAGAGCAATGAGCCAATAAATTAAGTTAAAAATCTTTTTAAATTAATGTAATACCAGGTGTACGTGTATGAAATGCGGATTCTTTAAAAAAAAACACGTTAAATTGGGAAGAATGATAAAAAGTGGTTTATTCAAAGTATGCTTCACTGCTAGTTACACATTTTTTCCCATCTTTCTGGTAATTTATAAATACCACGCCAGTAAAAATTTTCCCCTTTTGCCGCGAACCATTCATCGAGCCATTTTTTCACATCTTCGTACGAACCAAAGCGCTGCTCAGCAAGTGCGTAACCCATCGATGCAAACAAGTGGTAATCGGAAGGAGCCAAGTCTGGTGAGTAAGCCGCATGGACTAGCACTTCCCAGCTGAGTGTTTCCAACGTATCGCGAACCGGTTTTGCCGTATGTGATGGAGCATTGTCATGGAGAAATATGATCTTGTGCCTTTTTCGATATTGTGGTCGTTTTTCGAGTAGCGAACGGTTCAAATCGATCAATTGTTGTTGGTAGCGTTTGGTATTAATCGTTTCAGCAGGCTCTAACAGCTCATAATAGACCACACCCTTCTGGTCCCATCAAACACAGAGCATCGTCTTCTTGCCAAAATGATTCGCTCTTACGGTCGATGTGGATGGTGTACCTGGGTCTACCCACGATTTTTTACGCTTAGGATTCTCAAAATATATCCACTTTTCATCCCCAGTAACGATACGATGCAAAAACGACATTCTTTTGTATGGTTCGAGCAAAATTTCACATGTGTTTTTGCGTCTCTCCATCTGCCTATCGTTCAACTCATGTGGTATCCATCTGCCGACCTTCTGAATCATTCCCATCTCTCGTAGGCGATTGGAAACAGCTTCTTGACTAACGCTCAATTGCTCTGCTAGTTGTTTTTGTGAATCGTCTTCGTCCAACAATGCTTGCAATTTTACATTTTGGTGCCTTTTTGGCTGTTTTCTGTGTTCCTTGTCTACAACATCGAAATCACCACTTTTGAAACGCCGAAACCATCGTTCACACGTATCTTGCGATGGAGCATGTTCACCATAAGCTTCTCGAAATAATCGGTATGATTCAACAACAGTTTTCTTCAAATAAAAAAAAAAAAATAATGCTGTCCGCGAGTGCTCTTTATTTGGCATAAATTTCGACATATTGAACACAGTAAAACAATACTATGCAAACACTTTTTCACTTATTTATCACTTATGCGCGTTTAACACTTGTTGATGGCACAACAAAATGGCATATACGTCAAATCTTTACACTACACACTGCATTGGTGCACCATCTGTTGTCTCAAATCCGCACTTCATACTTCTACACCTGGTATATTGCAAAGAACATCACGTAATTATGGCGTTTCCTCCCAGTTTCCACTACTGGACTCATCAGTAAGGCATTGTAATGGAAGTCTACTCGCTTTGCTCGTGCGCTCGCGCCCGTCGCTCAATAAACAACTAATCCCCACTCGTTACACAATGTACTATTTCCTGCTTCTTTACTAAGAACTTGCAAATTATTATTGCAACATTGCATCTAGTGATTGCTCTTCTAAAGATAGCGACAGTTCCAGATAAAATATGTGTACGTAGCAAGAAAATATTATGTGTATATGTAGCTTTGATATGTCATCAGTCTTTTTTTGTTATTTTAATTACAGCTAAAAGCCCAATACGCACGATGAATCGAATGATTGCATTACTAGCAGCAGCAGTAATTGCTGTTACAGCTACACACGCGGAAGAGGTACGTTCAATAATTTCAATTCATTATTAATAATTCAAATATTGCATATATTAATCAGTTTCTGTAATAATAAATAAATCATCGATTTTCCAATCTGTACTCTGTTCAACAAGAGAATGACCTGCGCATCGAAGATGGCGTAGCGGACAGAGTGGGAATGTATTCAGTATCATATACGTAGATATGTAAATAAGGTATACTCGAACTAGACATGTCAATATTGAGCAAAAATATCGACTATATATATGTATATACAGGGTGGCCGAAATTAACCGCTAAATATTTCATGCGTGAATAGAACATACGTACTATACTGACAATGAGTCGAAAAGTCCTGTACCATTTTGCGATTGCAGTAATAGTTAACGAGATATTAATTTTTAAAGATTGCCCCGAATACGTGCGTCCGTCAAGCCGTTCTGGAGACACAAGCGGTCGAAAAGTGATAATTTTTATGAAAAATTAAGAAGCGTCTTGTTCTTCTTTTTCTCCTTCTCCTTCTTCTCTGTCCGCATTCAAGGCCATTAAAACTTTTTAACATCCTCACCTTTCACTCGCACTTCCACTATCTTCGACCCACCGAACCTCCTCCCCCTCCCCCACAATCAACCCCTACCACTCCTCTCTTTCGCCGTATTTCACTCTCTTTCGTTATATAATATTTTTAAATCATTTTTTTATATATTTGTGATATATTTGTACTCTAAAAAGTAAATGATATCCGAACAAAATCATATCATAAAAATGAAAAGTTCAAGCCATGTTCAAAAAAAGATATTCAAAAATTTAAACCTTTTATCTAATAATGATATTACCATGAAAAGTAACTGATATATTGTTAATTAAAGGTGCCAGTACAAAGTAAACATTTATAAATTGTATATGTAACTTTCGGCCGATTTTCGAATCGCCTCCGCCTTCCGCTGTCTAATAATAATATATTACCATGAAAGTAACTGATATATTATCAATTAAAGATACCAATACAAAGTGAATGAATATATTCAGATGTTTTAAAACTATCTATATTCATTCCGAATGAATAGACATTTTATTGAATATATCGCACAATGAATAAATTCCGAAAAAAAACTCCTCTTTATTTTAGAGTTTACGAACGAAAATACATAATACTTGATATTTGACCATTTGATGGAGGAAACTAGGAAAGACTCCGTTTATTCACAGACCCAATCCCTATTTCCTATTACAAATTACAAACGATAAATAGAACTCCTTTCTTCATGTCACAATGTACGGATTACCGAATACATCCAAAATTCTTCAAAGTATTCATAAAAATAGAGAATGAATATAAAAAATATTTAGTTAATACTTTATTCATAATTTATAATTCGATATTTTTATTTCGAGCAGCAAAAAATATCGAATATTCGATATTATCGAATAACGATAAACATACCTAGCTCGGATCCAGGGTTAGAAACAAACACTGTAATCCAGTCACTTTAGAACAAAAAAAGGGCATATATATACAAAAATTTCGACTAAGCTATAAATTGCTAAACACCTTCATTTATCACTTATGCGCGTTTGATACTTGTTGATGGCACAACAAAATGGCATATACGTCAAATCTTTATACTGCACACTGCATTGGTGCACTATCTGTAGTCTCAAATCTACACTTCATACTTGTACATCTGGTAATAATCTGATGTCATCCGGCAGCTCGTATAAAAGATTAAAAAGTTGTAGTATAGCACTGAGGAGAGAGAGGCTTCTGTGGGCGGAGACCTGCGCGAAACGAACGAGTTTTCGTTCTATGAGAGGTCATTCTCTCGTTGAACTGAGTATATCTTAATACAAAGAATAGGGAGAAGAAGAATGGAAGGCTAGAGACTCTAGCGACCAGCGAAATTGCGCGCCATCTAACACTTGGAGTGTTAACTGTTTGGTCGGCCATGTTTAGATATGAAATGTTAAGTTCTAGGTTCAAAAGATACTGGAAAGTTGTTTCTTTGGTATGAGATGTAGTATGCTTTGACTTTTAGAGGACACACACGACACAACCATCGTTGTATCCTTTTTGATATTCAACGAATGATAAAGATAGAATGATGTTTGTCGAGTGTGTCTTCTAAAAGGAAAGCATTCGTAAAAATAGGCGAATATTGGCGTGCCTCTGGTATAGCAACCAAAAGCAACCGTGGTTGAGGCTATCTTTGTCTTCTGATACCTGAAAACGAAGACAGCCTTAGTCGCGGTTACTTTTGATTGCTATACCAAAGGTACGCCAAAATTCGCCTAATATTAATCATTCATGTGGTCCATCGTTGTATGCAATAAAGCGTGTTATTTATTTTACGTGTGCGTGCATGTGTGCGCGCGTGTGTATGTGTGCGCGCGCATATTCAGTTATGTTAGGTTGGGTACATGTTGCGTGCGTCCTCTGCCACTTCGAAAGTGTACTATAGCCTAAAAATGAGGGTCGTTTCTTAACATGGGTTGTATATGGAGTCTTCCATTCTTCTTCTCCCTATTCTTTGATCATAACATATGAGGAATTATTATCGTGACAAGCGTTGATTATTATAATTAGTAATATAATATAGTTTTAAATTGGACAGCAGTCATTATGCGACATTCGCTCATGAAGATTGTAATGCAATAAGTAAACTAGAGAATGTACAGTATAAATGCTTATATAAATTTCATCTTCGAATCTGTTAACCAATGTAAAACTTAAAGAATATTTTGAAAATATTTCGATGGTTATAATTAATTTTATCAATAGGACAAATATAGTATAATTTTGCTTTTCCTTTTATATTTTCTTACTCCAGTGGTATTTTTACTTAATTTTGAATTCTTAAAATATTTAGGTAACATTAGAAATAGAAAGTAAATATTAAAAATGAGGACTCAAAGGAAAGTTAATCGAATTCGAAGATTAAGAGCCTTTAAAAGATATGGTACTTAACTTTTTCTAAAAATAACGAAATTTTATTTCAATTAGGTAAAAATGTTTTATATTTTTTGAAAGCACGACAAACTGTTACTATTAGTATTTATATTGATTGTATTAAATCGATTTAATTAGGAATTAGTGGCGGTTGTTCGCCTAATATCATTTTCCTCAAAAAACGTCACGGGTAACTTGAAGATTGTTCAAACTCCTTTGAATGGACCCGTTTCTATCACTGGCAAGATCTCCGGACTCACAGAGGGGCCACACGGTTTTCATGTGCATGAGAAGGGAGATTTGAGTGAGGGTTGCAAATCTGCAGGAGCACACTTCAACCCCGAGAATGTGAGCATCTATAGCAGCTTTCCTTTATATAATTTTCTTATTAATTGCGATGCATAATAATTAATTTAGAATTAATTGGCTGCTACAGTTTTGGCCATAAACATAAAGCACTTTCAATTTATTGAATTTTCTTAGAAATGGTAATGAAAAGAGGATTAATAAAATATTAAGATTTTATAAAAATAAATATTCTTTTTTAATAAGATTCTTTTAAATTTACCTTTTGTTAGATATAGAAAGTTTATTTTAATTTATAGAGGTATATTTTATACTTTAAGATTAAGATTTATTTCTTTTCTTATATAGGATGTCCCAAAATTTACCAAATTTCGTGGACAGGTAGGAGCGGACTAAACTGAGACTAAACTAAAAGTCCTGTAACATCAGGAGACGCGGTAGTGTCTCCGGCCATGTTTAAAAACTGAAAGACACTACAAATCTCTTATCCCGAGCCACCAAAGTCCATTTTTGGGGGTGCATAACTACTAAAATATAAAAAATTTTGGTAAATATCTAGAAAAGGGGAGCCCCCCCGATGATCTTGACCTTGACATATGTTGTCAAGGTCATGACCCTGAGTGACCTCCCGCAGGTTTTAGGTGGCGGTCGCTGTCCGTTAAAAAGTTATGATCAAAAAAAGTTTGAAAAATTACGTTTTATTTCTATTGTACAGTGTGACTTCCAAGCGAAGCGATTCTCATCCCACTTTCCTTGATGCTTTGCTCCTCGGTATATTTTGATTACATTCAATCAATGCAAGGTTACTATTGTGCTATGTTCACAATCAGTACTGTTTCTCACTTTGTGCTGTAACGATGTTACTTCACGAATTTATTCATCTAACACATAATTTTCGAAATCTTATTGATTATTTGGATGAAAAAAAAATGATACGTCCGAAAACGCAATGCAGCACTGCTTCCTTCATGCTCTGTGACCTCTTGCGCATGCGTTTAGCCACGAAATTTAAAATCATATTAAAAAATGAATTAGTTACTCGTATTATTTCAGCTATATATGTATGATATTAAGTACTATTGGTAATTATACAGAATAGCTGTCTCAGCTCAATTATAGAAGTCGTATGTGTAGATACAGTAGGTTCCGCCCCCCTGCGGGGGGCTCCACGACTGTTAAAATTAACCTAACCCAACCCATTCAGTGGTGTGAGATAGCTCTTGTTTCGCGTAGAAAGTAGAATCTCACGTGCAACAGTACAGGCATGTGACTTTCTATGCGAAAACACTTCCATGATTGTACTATTGCACGTGGGTTTCGACTTTCTACGCGAAACGAGAGCTATCTCACACCACTGAATGGGTTGGGTTAGGTTATTTTTAACAGTCGTGGAGCCCCTCGCAGGGGGGCGGAACCTACTGTATCTACACATACGACTTCTATAATTATACTGTTGTACGTGGGTTTCGACTTTCTACGCGAAACGAGAGCTATATCACACCACTGAATGGGTTGGGTTAGGTTATTTTTAACAGTCGTGGAGCCCCTCGCAGGGGGGCGGAACCTACTGTATCTACACATACGACTTCTATAATTATATTGTTGCACGTCGGTTTCGACTTTCTACGCGAAACGAGAGCTATCTCACATCACTAAATTCATTTTTTAATATGATTTTTAATTTCGTGGCTAAACGCATGCGCAAAAGGTCACAGAGAATGAAGGAAGCAGTGCTACATAGTCGGTATGACAGATTTCCTAACCTGAATAGTCGTCAACTTCAACGCTTAATATCTCGGTTCGTAGGGCAGAGCGACACTTTTTTCTGCCAGATTCTTTCGTTTCATGCAAAAACGCGTCGAATAAACTTAATTTTATCGATTTTGTAGAGGAGCGGGGTATTCTTTACCTTTACCCTTGATATTTTACACACACACACACACGCGTACACGCACACGCGCACGCGCACACACGAACACACACACACACACACACACACACACTAGCAGGTGCAAGGAGGTGGTCTTCGGCCACCCCCCGCATCCACACCGTCGACAGAGGTCTGCCTCGACAGTACAATCATAGCAACAGTATAGTCGTAGAAGTCGTGTTCCCCTTTGCAGGGGGTTGGGGGAGGTGAGAGTTACTTCGCGTGGAAAGTTTAACGTTTCTAAACAGAAGGAGATGTAAAATAGTACTTGTTATAATCCATATATGGCAGAAATGATACGTTAATTTTGAAACTTTTTTGTTAATAACTTTTTAACGGACAGTGACCGCCACCTAAAACCTGCGGGAGGTTACTCAGGGTCATGACCTTGAGAACATATGTCAAGGTCAAGATCATCGGGGGGGGCTCCCCTTTTCTAGATATTTACCAAAATTTTGAATCAAACGTTATATGTCCTGAAAGGTGGCATCGCCACGAGTAATTTGAGCCAAAAAATTTTTAATCAGTCAAGGAGATACAAGCGGTCGAAAAGTGGTGATTTTAATGAAAAATTAAGAAACGTCTCCTTCTTCTTCTTCTTCTCTGTCCGCATTCAAGGCCATTAAAACTTTTTAACTTCCTCTCTCATCTTTCACTCGCACCTCCACCATTTTTGGTCTACCGGACCTCCTCCCCCCGCCCCTCCCCCTTTCCCCACCAACCCTCTCTTTCGCCGTATTTCACTCTTTTTCGTTATTACAACTTGTTAACATTCTCTCTCACCTTTCACTCGCACCTCCACTATCTTCGACCCACCGGACCTCCTCCCCCCGCTCCTCCCTCTCCCCCATCACCCACCCCACCATCCCTCTCTTTCGCCGTATTTAACTCTCTTTCGTTATATAACATTTATTTGTCATGTATTTGTACTCCAAAAAGTAAATGATATCCGAACCAAATCATATTATAAAAATGAAAAGTTTAAGCCATGTTCAAAAAAGGACACCCTAAAATTTAATCCTTTTTATCTAATAATAAGATACTACCATGAAAAGTAACTGATATGTTATTAATTAATGGTGCCAGTACAAAATGAACATACATAAAGTGTATGCAACTTTCAGCCGATTTTCGAACCGCCTCCGCCTTCCGCTGTCCTCCTCACCTCCCCGCCCCGCACGCGTTCCAAATACCGAACGATGCTCGAGCGACATTTGATCTGCGCGCGGGGCGGTGAGGTGAGGGGGACAGCGGAAGGCAGAGGCGATTAGAAATTCGGCCGAAAGTTGCATACACGTTTTATGTATGTTCACTTTGTACTGGCACTATTAGTTAATAACATACCAGTTACTTTTCATGGTAATATACATTATTATTAGATAAAAAGGTTTAAATTTTTGAGTGTTTTTATAATTTTCGCAATAGTTAACGTGATGTTAATGTCTCAAGATGACCGTATACGTGCTTGGCGCTCGGGGAATAGAGTCTGCCTGACAAACGCCCCGCGCTACGTACACCATCGCGAGCATCTTATAAACGTCTGACTCGGATGGCACGCTTGCCGTTTCCAGGCCATCGCCGCTCTCCACGACCCGCACACCGAACTACCAATGGGTATACGTATACTTGGAAATAGTAAGCCGGGCGGACGTACATACGTATTCGGTAATCTTTAGACATTAATATCTCGTTAACTATTGCGAAAATTATAAAATAGTACAAGACTTTCCGTCTCAGTTTAGTCTGATCTACCTGTCTACGATATTTGTCAGGTGAATTTCGATATATATACACACTATAGACATACTGTAGTATAACTTTTTGAAAAATGTTTACATTTAATAAAATTTTATCTCTTGTCGTTCTTATTTTATAATAAAGTTCTGTTTTTTTTTTTAGTTTTTCTACTTTATATAGTCTTTTATTAATACTACTTTTTCAATTAATTCGTGCTATTAACTTGTTAGAATACCCACGGTGCCCCAGAAGACACCGTCAGACATGTCGGCGATTTAGGAAATATCGTGGCCAATACTGAGGGAGAAGCGATAATAAATATCACTGACAATATCATCTCGCTGACAGGATCGAATAGCATCATTGGACGGTCCATAGTAGTACATTCTGACGAAGACGATCTTGGGAAGAGCAATCATTCCCTTTCTTTGACAACCGGAAATTCTGGCGATCGTTGGGCCTGTGGTGTCATTGGCATCGAGTAGGTTCACAAATATATTTTTGTCATTTTTATTTTGAAATATATTTTGTCATTTTTTTTGTGTTTTTAACAATATAGTATATTATGTGACTTAGAATATAAAATAAAACCAAATAAAGAGCATACAGCCACAGCGCTAGTTATTATGAGCAGGCATGGGAGCTGGTCACTTTTCTCACTTTTTTAGAAACATCTCACTTTTCCTCACTTTTCTATAAAAAAAAAACTCACTTTTTTCACTATTTTTCTATAGATTTGCGGTTGCGGTTTGATTTATACTTACAACGCTTACAAAATATTTCATATCTTTGCCATTTCATCCTTGTTGTTTATCAATGTAAAACAAGGAAGAATGACGCTCATGAGCGTATAGGCATGAATCGGACTGTATCTCTTGTGATTTGATGAACTGCAATATTCCTAGCACAATAGACCAATCATTGGCCGTATTCGGGGAGAGCGCTGTTATTAGCGCTATTTGTCATGCTTTATCGTATACATTAGATGTAAAACAAGGATAGAATAGTCGCATTCAGCAAACTTAGGGGCTGCGCAGAATAAAAGGAACAGGGAACGAAGAACAGAGAATAAGAATTTCAACCTATCAGAAATCATGTACTATGGAATACACACTGTTTATTCCACAGTATATGATTTCTGATAGGTTGAAATTCTTATTCTCTGTTCTCTGTTCCCTGTTCCTTTTATTCTGCGTAGCCCCTTAATTGTTGTGGAGCGGATCTGCGAACACTCGTTGTTATTGGTGTATTCTTCTAGATCATCCAATAGCAGCAAGTGCTCACGAATTCGCTCCGCAACGGTCTGTCTGAACCACAGAATATAGATGTCTGTGGTCTGAACGCGGCAATTATGATGCAATTCGCATTGAACGGCGCGCTTTCTGAACACAATCATTATAGTCTGTTTAATCGGGGTGTAAACAAACTAGATATATTATTACTTTACAACAAAGTTACAAGTAGTTGTAAGTTTCTCCAATATTTAATCTTAAATAATAAATCAGGAGACACAGTAGTGTCTCTGGCCATGTTCAAAAACTGAAAAACACTTCAAGTCTCTTATCCCGAACCACCAAAGTCCATTTTTAGGGGGTGCATAACTACTAAAATATAAAAAATTTTTAAATCTAACGTTAGAAATCTAACGTTATATGTCCTGAAAGGCGGCATCACCACGAGTAAATTTCAGCCAAGAAAATTTTAAATTGGTCAAGCCATTCTGGAGATACAAGTGGTCGAAAAGTGATGATTTTAATGAAAAATTAAGAAACGTCTCTTTCTTCTTCTTCTTCTCAGTTTGCATTCAATGCCGTATTAAAACTTTCTAACATTCCCTCTCACCTTTCACTCACGCCTTCACCATCTTCGACCCACCGGACCTCCTGCCCCCGCCCCTCCCCCACCACCCACCCCCACTACCCCTCTCTTTCGCCGTATTTCATTCTCTTTCGTTATATAATATTTTTAAATAACTTTTTTATATATTTGTGATATATTTGTACTCTAGGTAAATGATATCCGAAAAATATCATATCATAAAAGCGGAAGAATATAAAATAAAACCAAATAAAGAGCATACAGCCACAGCGCTAGTTATTATGAGCAGGCATGGGAGCTGGTCACTTTTCTCACTTTTTTAGAAACATCTCACTTTTCCTCACTTTTCTATAAAAAAAAAACTCACTTTTTTCACTATTTTTCTATAGATTTGCGGTTGCGGTTTGATTTATACTTACAACGCTTACAAAATATTTCATATCTTTGCCATTTCATCCTTGTTGTTTATCAATGTAAAACAAGGAAGAATGACGCTCATGAGCGTATAGGCATGAATCGGACTGTATCTCTTGTGATTTGATGAACTGCAATATTCCTAGCACAATAGACCAATCATTGGCCGTATTCGGGGAGAGCGCTGTTATTAGCGCTATTTGTCATGCTTTATCGTATACATTAGATGTAAAACAAGGATAGAATAGTCGCATTCAGCAAACTTAGGGGCTGCGCAGAATAAAAGGAACAGGGAACGAAGAACAGAGAATAAGAATTTCAACCTATCAGAAATCATGTACTATGGAATACACACTGTTTATTCCACAGTATATGATTTCTGATAGGTTGAAATTCTTATTCTCTGTTCTCTGTTCCCTGTTCCTTTTATTCTGCGTAGCCCCTTAATTGTTGTGGAGCGGATCTGCGAACACTCGTTGTTATTGGTGTATTCTTCTAGATCATCCAATAGCAGCAAGTGCTCACGAATTCGCTCCGCAACGGTCTGTCTGAACCACAGAATATAGATGTCTGTGGTCTGAACGCGGCAATTATGATGCAATTCGCATTGAACGGCGCGCTTTCTGAACACAATCATTATAGTCTGTTTAATCGGGGTGTAAACAAACTAGATATATTATTACTTTACAACAAAGTTACAAGTAGTTGTAAGTTTCTCCAATATTTAATCTTAAATAATAAATCAGGAGACACAGTAGTGTCTCTGGCCATGTTCAAAAACTGAAAAACACTTCAAGTCTCTTATCCCGAACCACCAAAGTCCATTTTTAGGGGGTGCATAACTACTAAAATATAAAAAATTTTTAAATCTAACGTTAGAAATCTAACGTTATATGTCCTGAAAGGCGGCATCACCACGAGTAAATTTCAGCCAAGAAAATTTTAAATTGGTCAAGCCATTCTGGAGATACAAGTGGTCGAAAAGTGATGATTTTAATGAAAAATTAAGAAACGTCTCTTTCTTCTTCTTCTTCTCAGTTTGCATTCAATGCCGTATTAAAACTTTCTAACATTCCCTCTCACCTTTCACTCACGCCTTCACCATCTTCGACCCACCGGACCTCCTGCCCCCGCCCCTCCCCCACCACCCACCCCCACTACCCCTCTCTTTCGCCGTATTTCATTCTCTTTCGTTATATAATATTTTTAAATAACTTTTTTATATATTTGTGATATATTTGTACTCTAGGTAAATGATATCCGAAAAATATCATATCATAAAAGCGGAAAGTTCAAACCATGTTCAAAAAAGGATACTCAAAAATTTAAACCTTTTTATCTAATAATAATATATTATCATGAAAAGTAACTGATATATTATTAATAAAGGTGCCAGTGAACATACATAAAGTGTATGCAACTTTCGGCCGATTTTCGAATCGCCTCCGCTTTCCGCTGTCCCTCTCACCCACAGACTTCTATATATAGAAGTCTGTGCTCTCACCTCACCGCCCCGCGCGTAAATCAAATGTCGCTCAAGCATCGTGCGGCATTTGGATAATTATTTGTACAAATATTAAGATATACAAGTTATGTTTATGCAGTATTAGTTTTGTATGAATTTTCTGTGAAGATATTTTTATTTTTGTTATTATCAGGAATGTTAAATACTATACAGTAATAAAGAGAAGATGAAATCGGACAAGAGAATAGATAAAAATTCAAAATGTACTATTCATACAAAATGGTTATTGAGGATTGATGTGCTTGGTCATCGAATTGAATCGTGAGGAAGAAAAGTTGAATCTACAATCTTATTCTGTGAAATCTGTACGTGTCGCATTCATTGTGCAACTAAAGGATATCAGACTATTTCTCAGCACATAACCTCTGCGAAACATAAATAGAATGCGAATATTAAACTTAATACTTATAGTCAATTGCATCTCGATTTGATATCACGTGTAGTATCATCAAAAACTAATAAACTTCAAGAACCAAGTATTCAGTCAATCTCATCTAGCAGTGTGTGTTTCAAGTTTTTCCTGTGCCTCAACCGGCTTAACCAGTCTAATACAAAATGGAATCTATATACATTACTAGAAAAAGTAATTGTTGCAGAATTACTTTGGATCACGAAATGTGTTTTGAGCAATTTTTCTTCGTTATCATGATGGAATTGAAAATTTGTTTAGAGCTATGTTCAGCACAGGTGTTTCTAACACATTTTCACTCAGCAAGAAAAAAGTTGGATATTTACAAACTGATTGCTTAGGCCGCCCTTATTTCCATAAAGAACCCCGCTCAAATCTTATGAAAATTGGGTTTCAGTGGAAACCCCGCACAACGTGCGTCTAGAGAGAGAGTGGAGATGGGTGTGGCGGAGGTGATGGCGGGTGAGGCGGGGTGGGATGGGGGTTGGATATGAGAGTGATATAGCCCGATATTGCAGTTAGGCCTATCTATTTACCTTTACTTCGCTCATAGCGGGCGAAGGATTGATTCCCGGGGCTTGTGCCTATGGAGACATTTGTTCAGGATGTCGAAAGCTACAACATATCAAAATTTCAGACAAATCCACCGAAATCCAATTTCCATAAGATTTGAGCGGGGTCCTTAGTAAGTGAAGATGCACAGAAAGGCTCGTTTGTGATTTGTTACGATGAAACTACTAATTCAGGAGGAATGAAAGAGTTGCAAATTTCAATATGATTTTGGTCAGAAATTTTAAGGCTCCTGAATACCGGCGACGGCCATGTTGGAATTGTGACGTCATAGGCGAGAAAAACATATAAATTTTTCTTGCGTCTCATTTTTTAATAAAGACAATTGGCGATGCAAAGATCTCTCTGCGCGCTCCTAGTGGCGGCTGGTAGAAGCTTCGCTAGTCAGACACCTTATACGTGCTATAACGGAAAATAATAAAGTAAAATAAAAAAAAATACTACATAATGTTTTGTGGCATAATACCATAATTATAAACAGAAGGGGATCAGTTTTCATCACTTAAAAAAAAAATAATTTTTTTTTAAAAACATTATGTAGTATTTTTTTTTATTTTACTTTATTATTTTCCATTATAGCACGTATAAGGTGTCTGACTAGCGAAGCTTCTACCGGCCGCCACTAGAAGCGCGCAGAGAGATCTTTGCATCGCCAATTTGGATAAATTTAAAAAGCGAGATCGCACAAAAACACTTATTAAAATTGCCGGAAACTGTCCTTTCCTTCTCTGATAGTCAGTAAATGGTCGTAAAAGACACGTAAAGTGAGCCTATTCTCGGGCAGAATCACATAGTTTAACAGCTGATGAAACGAGTGAAATATACGCTTTTACGTATAAAATTTCACGATAACTGCAGTTTCCGGCAATTTTTAGGACTTTCACGAGTACGAGGGAAGTCACATTTTCACAAATAAGCAAATATTGACGAAATGGCACG